CAGAGGAGGGGTGGGTGGGCAGCTGGGGCAGTAGTGAGAACGTAGATGGAGCCATTGGCTGATTTGCCTGGCTATGGGTGTGTGCAGCCTATTGGGCAGAGCCAGCAGAGGGGCAGGTGGCCTTGATTTCCTAGTGGGCTTGTGTTTAGGACAGTTTATAGGCAGCATGAACTTAAACTTTCTCACCCCAAGGTCTGTTCTTCCAATGTCATGACCCACGGTACCTCACAGAACCTCCTTAAGCTTCAGTTTCCTCATTTGTAAATGGGTTTATAAATGTATAGCAGCATGGTCCTAGAGGTGTGATGCATGGTTCATAAAGGAAAGCTGCCATCAGGTTGATTTTTTTTGGAGAGGACACTGGCTAAGAGATTTGGAGGTTAGGCCTCTCTGTCTAGGTTCTAAGCCAGCCTGGCTACCTTCTAACAGCATGACCTTCACCAAGACATTTCTCTTCCCAGAGCCTCAAGGCTCTTGTCTGAAAAGACATCACAGGCCTGCCCCACAGATTGTCTTGATGGTTAAATGAGCTGATGCCAGTGAAGCTCTTATTCTAGTGTTAACAGATAGTAGGTGTTCAATAAACCACTACCTCCATAGACAGTAGCCTTTACTGAGCCCTTGCTTGATAAGAAACATTAACAATGGATCCAGCCAGGCGCTGGTGGCTCACGCCTGTAATCCTGCTGCTTAGGAGGCTGAGATGTAAGGATCACAGTCAAAGCCAGCTTGGGCAGGAAAGTCCATGAGACTTTTACCTCCTCTGAACATCAGAAAATCAGAAGTGAAGCTGTGGCTCAAAGTGGTAGAGCACTACCCTTGAGTGAAGGAGCTCAGGGACAGCACCCAGACCCTGAGTTCAAGTCCAGCTGACTCTTTTTCTCTCTTTCTCTCTCTCTCTCTCTCTTTCTCTTGCACGCATGCTTGTGTGTGTGTGTGTGTGTGTGTGTGTGTGTGTAAGAGAGAGAGAGAGCACGAGCGAGCATGAGTGCATATGCCAGGGCTTCAACACAATGCCTTTCATTCAACTTTCATTCTTCAACTTCAGCCATGCCTCCAGTCTGGCATTTTGCTTTTTAGATGGACTTTTTTCCCCAAGGTACTCTTGAGCCTTAAGCCTTAGATCTTGGCCTTCTGAAGAGCTACGATTATAGGCATAAGATAACAGTACCCAGCTAATAGTGTTATTTTTTAAACTAATAAAGAACTTTTCTGGGGTGCTGACAAGGGAACCCAGGGCCTCAAATGCTAGGCAAGTATTCTACCAGCCTTAATCATCCATTTGCATTAGCAAACTTCTCTCCACCACTCCTGAAGCAATCATTTGATCATTTAGGTCCTTTGTTGCCCATCCCCTGGTCAAAGAGAGGCCTAAAGAGGAGCAATGACTTGCCCAAGGTCCACAGCCAGCTCCTGTATGATTTGATCCAGCACAGTCTGCTGCAGAGCTACTGCTCTATGTTGGTCTCCAGGGGGACACCCTGTGCCCCCTTCCCCGTTACTCTCCTGAGCCAGCAGCTTCTTGGAGCTTCAAGCTTCCTGAATGGCTTGGTTAAGCACTCGGCCGTTAAACGTTCATCTCTAACAATTTCAGTCCAATTCCTATAAGTTTATTGGCAAGACGGAGTGTATTAGAGCTGCCAAATTTAATATATCAAATTCGTGTGTCTGGAAAGTGGTTTCTCGGCAGTGATGGCAGAAGAGAGGTTATAGACATTTTCATTTGGAATGGCTGGCTGTTCCTGCTCCCATTACAGCCCCTGACTTAGTGGCTGGCGTCCCTGGACTGCTACAGGAGCGATTTTCTCCGTCAGCCTGCTTGGCTGCCCAGACTTCCCAGGTACTTGCTTGGCTCGGCCTCTTCCTCCTGTCCATCGGCTCTATGGTCAGGTCCCAGTATCAGCTTTAGATGCCATGTGAAGGGAGGCTAGCAGCCACCTCTGATCTCATGCCCACCTTCCTCTGAGCTTCGGGAGCTTGCTCTAGGCAGAGGAGCAGCAGACCCGAAGCACCATGCTGAGCTAGGTCCTAATTGATGACCTCCAATTGACCTTCTCCTCAAGTCATATGACACTGACCCGGGGGCCTGGGGACACAGAATCATCCCCCAGCTTGAGCTGCAGGTTGAGACCGCAAGGGTGGCTATTGGTAACCATGGCTTGGGCATCTTAAGACCCTATCCTATTCTCATTCCCTGTGAGGCTGGTGGGATCCTGCCCCCCAAGAATGGAGTAGCCTCATCAGGCCTGATGCCTAGGCCCCTGGCTTCCCAAAGCATGAAGCTGGCTGGAGGAGAGAGGACACGTAGCAGCATGATATGGGGGACCTGCACTGGTGTTCAGTTTGCTAGCTTTGTGGCCCGCAAATCACTTTCTCCCTCTGAACCTTAGTTGTTGCAAAGGGAAAATGAGAATTAATTCATCCATTACTTGCTCTGCACCAAGCATCATTTTAGGCTCTGGAAGTCCAGCAATAAACAGAGAGAGAGAGAGAGAGAATGTGTGTGTGTGTGTGTGTGTGTGTGTGTGTGTGTGTGTGTGTGTGTGTTACTGCCTTGATGGATTTTTGAGGGAGAAAAACCATAAACATGGGCTGGGAAGGTGGCTCAGTGGTAGAGTGCTTGCCTTGCATTCATGAAGCCTTGGATTCAATTCCTCAGTACCACAGAAGCAGAAAAGCCAGAAGTGGCACTGTGGCTCAAGTGGTAGAGCACTAGCCTTGAGCTGAAAAGCTCAGGGACAGCACCCAGGCCCAGAGTTCAGGCCCCACTACTGACAAAAACAAAGCAAAGAAACAAAAAACACCTATAAATAAAATAAGGAGTTTGTTACTTCAAAGGGGGTAAGTGCAGAGAGGAGAGCAAATCAGGGAGTGGGGCAGTTAAGGGGAGGGTTCTGTGATTTTTACATGAAGTACATAAAGTAGATTACTGTCGAGGTAGCATGGAGCGAAGATGGAAGGACTGAGCGAGCAGGCGTGGCAGGGACCTATGGGAGGGAACCCAGGCCTAGGGGCAACACGTGCAAATGACATAGGTGGCCATGTGCCTGGCATGTGTGGAGAGCAGAGGAGGCCAACATGGAGAGGTCAGAGAGGGATGGGGGATGAGGGAGGCTGGCCAGAGGGCGCGCTGAAGGCACCAAGCCTCCAGCCTGACCGGGCCTCTTCTGCTAAGGTTCTGTGTTAGCTGCTGGGGTTGGAACCTGGACATCAAAAGTGCTCAGAGCTGATCATTGGTAGCTCACACTTTTAGTCCTAGCTACTCAGAAGATTGAGATCTGAGGGTGCCAGCCCAGGTAGGAAAGAGTCTGAGACTCTTATCACCGATTAAGCACCAGTAAAGCTGGAAGTGAAGCTGTGGCTCAAATGTAGAGGTCTAGACTTGAGCATAAAAGCTCAGGGACAGTGCTCAGGCCCTGAGTTTAAGTCCTATGATAGGCACCCAAAAAAAAAACCCAACAAAGTGTTAGCTGAATGCCGGTGGCTCACACTACAATCCTAGCTACTCAAGAGGCTGAGATCTGAAGTTTGCAGTTTGAAGCCAGCCCACACAGAAAAGTCCCTGCAAGGGGCTGGGAAGGTGGCTCAGTGGTAGAGCGCTTGCCTTGCATGCCTGAGGCCCTGGGTTCCATTCCTCAGCACCACATAGGCAAAAAGAAAAAAAGCCAGAAGTGACACTGTGGCTCAAGTGGTTGAGCTGAAGAGCTGAGGGACAGCACCCAGGCCCTGAGTTCAGGCCCCATGACTGGACCCAAAAAAAAAAAAAAAAGTCCCTGCAAGACTCTGATCTCCAATTAACCAGTCAAAAAACTGGAAGTTAGCTGGCACCAGTGCCTGTAGTCCTAGCTACTCGGGAGGCTGAGATCTGAGGATCATGGTTCAAAACCAACCCGGGCAAGAAAGTCCATGAGACTCATCTCCAATAACCCACCAGAAAACTGGAAGTGGTGCTATGGTTCAAGTGGTAGAGTGCTAGCCTTGAGCTAAAGAGCTGAGGGACAGTGCCCAGGTCCAGAGTTCAAGTGCCACAACCAAAACAAAACAAAACCTGGAAGTTGGGGCTGGGAATGTGGCTTAGTGGTAGAGTGCTTGCCTCGCATGCATGAAGCCCTGGGTTCAATTTCTCAGTACTACATAAACAGAAAAAGCTGGAAGTATCACTGTGGCTCAAGTGGTAGAGCACTAGCCTTGAGCAAAAAGAAGCTCAGGGACAGTGCCCAGGCCCTGACTTGAAGTCTCAGGATTGGCAACAAAACAAAGCAAAACAAAAATCAAAAAACTGGAAGTGGAGTTGCAGCTCAGAGTGGTAGAGCACACGAGCTGTGGGATAGCACCCAGCCAAGTTCAAGCCCCACAACCAGCAAAAAACAAAGAAGCATGCATAAGAGCCGGGCGCCGGTGGCTCACGCCTGTAATCCTAGCTGTTCAGGAGCCTGAGATCTGATTATCACAGTTCAAAGCCAGCCTGGGCGGGAAAAGTCCGTGAGACTCTTTTTTTTTTTTTTTGTCCGGTCATGGGGCCTGAACTCTGGGCCTGGGCGCTGTCCCTCAGCTCTTCAGCTCAAGGCTAGCGCTCTGCCACTTGAGCCACAGCGCCACTTCCGGCTTTTTTCTTTTTGCTTATGTGGTGCTGAGGAATCGAACCCAGGGCCTCATGCATGCAAGGCAAGCGCTCTACCACTGAGCCACCTTCCCAGCCCCCCTGTGAGACTCTTATCTTCAATAAACCACCAGAAAATGGGAAGTGGTACTGTGGCTCAAGTGGTAGAGCGCTCACCTTGTGCTGAAGAGCTGAGGGGCAGTGCCCAGGCCCAGAGTTCAAGCCTTAGGACCAACCAAAAAAAAAAGAAGTGTGCAGCCCAGATAGGCCCTAAACACTGGCACTAAAGATGCATAATGGGGTGGACGTCCTTAAGGAAAGCTGTGTCTCGGGCCTGACCCTTGGGCCTGGCAAGCTGTTCCTTATGGTCTGACCAAGCACCTTGTGGTTTCCCTGGTAGCTGCTGCACCTGGCACGGGTGGCCATGGGGAAGCGATACTTCTGCGACTACTGTGACCGCTCCTTCCAGGACAACCTCCACAACCGGAAAAAGCACCTGAACGGCCTGCAGCACCTCAAGGCCAAGAAGGTGTGGTACGACATGTTCCGGGGTGAGTGTGCGAGGGCTCGGCACCACTGTGGGCATTGACATGGCCTGGGCCCTGGCCTGAAGGGCTGGGAGGAGAGCTTAGGGCTTAGTCCCTGCAAAGCCTTGGGCTGGGTCCCCAGCACCAGAGAAAAGACATGGAAAAAACAAAAGGAGAGAAAACTCCTTGTTTGTGTATTTGTTTTGTCAGTCTTGGGGCTTGAACTCAAGGCCTGGGCACTGTCCCCAAGATTCTTTTTGCTCAAGACTAGCTCTCTACCATTTGAGCTACAGCACCACTTCCAGCTTTTTCTGTGTCTATGGTACTGAGGAATCAAGCCCAGGGCTTCATGCATGCGAGGCAAGCATTCTGCCATTAAGCAACGCTCCCAGCCCAAGAGAGCACTCCTTTCGCTGGCTCATGCCTCCTACTCAGGAGGCTGAGATCTGAGGATCTCAGTTTGAAGCCAGCCTGGGCAGGAAAGCATATGAGACTTATCGCCAGTTAACTCAAAAAAACAAAATCCAAACCCCAAAGCTAGAAGTGGAGCTGTGGCTTAAGTGGTAGAGTGCTAGCCTGGAGCACAAAGTCTCAAGCCCCAGGACTGGAGAGGGAGACTGACCAGGCCTCTCTCCTTCAGAGGAACCACCACCAGAGAGCTGTTCCTCAGCCGCCTTACCCAGGGCTCTGTGCTCCACACACTGTGGACCGCCGTGGGGGTGGAAGAGGCCTGTCCCCAGAGGCCAGGTTTGAGCCTCTCGCTGGAATAGCGGGAGAGGCCATCAACTCTATTCTGGTAGGTTCTGAAGGTAGGCAAACAAGAAGCAGCTAGGAGTACCCCACTGCAGCCGCTGCTGGGGAAGCAGAGGGAGACGGTATAGCTCATGAGAAGAGAGTGGTGGGGCCTGAATCCTTTTTTTGGGGGGGGGGGCCAGTCGTGGGGCCTGAACTCTGGGCCTGGGTGCTGTCCCTCAGCTCTTCAGCTCAAGGCTAGCCCTCTACCACTTGAGCCACAGCGCCACTTCTGGCTTTTTTCTTTTTGCTTATGTGGTGCTGAGGAATTGAACCCACGGCCTCATGCAAGGCAAGCGCTCTACCACTGAGCCACCTTCCCAGCCCCATGGCCTGAATCCTTTAGGCAACCTTTTGAGGACCCTGCTGTGGGCAAGGTGGGGTGTAAGAAGGGGTTATGGCCCAACTGGCTTGAGGTCAGTGGAGGGAGGGAGAAAGGAAGGGAGAGAGGGTGCGCAAGGCAGCCCCCTCTCCCTCCCAGGGGAATGGGGAGCTGTGCTGAGCAGGCTGAAAGGAGAGGGAGCTTGACAGAGCAGCAGGGGTACACGAATCATCCCAAGAATGAGATGGGGTGGAGTCAGTTTCCATATATTGGGAGCAAGATTTCAGGACAGAGCCCAGATCCCAGAAGGAAGGAACTGAGCCTCAGACGAATGGAAGCGAAGGGAATCTGGGCTCCTGGGTCCGAGATCTAGAACTTATGAGAAGGGAAGATGCATTCATTGAGTGCTTGCTGCATACCGGCTGCTTGCCACAGTTTTTCATTTGCCTCTGGGTACCCAGGAAGCCTCTGGCCTTGGAATCAAACAGAGACTGCCCGTTTCCACCTCCAGTGAGGACTGTGGCCTATCTCAGCTGGGCCAAGATCCCCTGGTATTTGCACTGGTCCCAGTCTAAAGCAAGAGTAGCTGGGTCCTAGCTGGAGGGCTGAATTACTTCTAGAAAAGGCGAAAAAGCAGGTGCCATGAGCCCCTCAGTAGGGCTCGTGACTTCTCAGTACCTTCTCACCCCTTAGAACAGCTCTGCAAGGGAGGCCGGCCGTGGAGCCCCTACTGACAGATGGTGACCAGTGCGTTGTCTTATCCTAGATCCTCAGCTGCTGCTCGTCAGACTGGCATTGGAGCTCTTTCCTCTTCCTCAGGAGGCGTTTCCAGGAAGGGTGGGCATGTAGGTACATGCCTATAATCCTAGTTTCTTGGAAGACAGAGATAGGAGTATATTGGTCTGGAACTGTCTCAGGCAAAAGCACTAGACTCTATTTAAAAAAAAAAAAACAACAACGTGTGTGTGTGGGGGGGACTGGGAATGTGGCTTAGTGTTAGGGTACTTGCCTAGCATGCTTGAAGCCCTGGGTTCAATTCCTTAGTACCACATTAAACAGAAAAGGCTGGAAGTGGTGCTGTGGCTCAAGTGGTAGAGTGCTAGCCTTGAGCAAAAAGAAGCTCAGGGACAGTGCCCAGACCCTGAATTCAGGTCCCAGGACTGGCAAAATAAATAAATAAATAAACAAACAAAAAGACCGGAGGCATGGTTCAAGTAGTTGAGGCTCTGAGTTTAAGCCCCTAATATTATTTTTTAAAAATGGCTTTTCTAGGACAGCCTACACTCAGCTTACCCTGAGCAACTGTATAGACCAGGCTGAGAACTCCATTGAGTCTACCCTAGAACCATGGCTTTGGATAAGTTCCTGAGCCTCAGAAGCTGAGGAACCACCAGCCATGGTGAGGAGCCATGGAGCCGGCATACTCAGCCATCGGTCCCAAAGTGTCACTAGCAGTGTGGGCTGCATCTTGTCATGTGCAAAACAGCCGTAGCAACAGAACTAACCTCCCAGGGATGTGCCAAGGGCTTAGAATCCCATGGTGGCTGGCACCGGAGGGCCCACTGAGCAAGAGCACTGTCTGTGTGTTCTCCAAATGGTTGGCCTCAGGCCCTTCATTTCATGGGCTCATTCAGCCAGTGCTCACTGAGGATCTAAAAGCCTGTCCCACCTGGCTGCCACGTGGTGTGGCCTCTGCCTGGCCCTGGCTACATGCTTACTACGTGTCCGCATTTCCTGCCGTCCTCTGCCCACGCCAGCCCCCAGGTCAACTCGGGCAGCGACTCCTCTAGGACACCCTCTCCGTCCCCTGGGCCGGGCATCTGGCCGTGTGGCATGTTCAGTGTTTACCCTGTTGATACCCACGTGGATTAATGTGGCTGCTGGGCTGGAAGAAAGAACCAGCTCCGACTTGTTCTCTACTTAAATCCTCAGCTGGGCACCGCGCCTGGTGCCCAGGCTGTGATCAGGGGCTGGGAGTTGAATGGCTAAAGGACTGAGCAAACAAACATAGGCTCTGGGGGCAGCTGCTCATTAGGGGAGATGAAGCGAGAAGGACCAGCGGGTCAGATGGTGAGGAGCCTTAAACACCAAAGGAACAGCAAAGGCTCTGCACGGGCCTGGGCTGGGCTTCGCAACCTTGGGAGCTTAGAACTGCTCCCAAGAATGGAAGCAGAACCTGACCGGGGAAGGGATGGTGTCCCTGATTCAGAGTGTGGTGGGGGGTAGTGGGGAACTCTTCTCCCTTGTCCGTGACTTCTGCCAGTTTAAAGGGTCCTGGCCCATAGCCACATGCCCTCCACCACCCTGCCTCCCCCAGGAAGATCAGGCAGAGCTGCTGTGTGCCATTTGTAGTCCCAGCTGGGTGGACGGAATCTGATAAGCTGGTGAGTGTCCCAGAGGGACCCTTCCCCACCCTGCTGGCTCCACCCTGGCCCCAGCACCAGCTGCCCTGCTGCGAGGGGTCCCCAAGGCAGGGACCATCAACCCGCCCCAGGATGTCAGCAGCTACATGGAAACGGAACTCAAAACTCCCAGCCGCAGAGTTCATGCTCTGCTCCTCCTCATGGGATACCCTTGGCCAGTCATTTCACTAAACCCGTTTCCCCTCTGCAGAATGGGTTACAGGGAGAAACAAGGAACTGCTGCCATTTCTCAGCAGGTGCTCAGGGGTGGCCATCCATGCCTGTGGCCTGAGGAACTGGATGCCGAGGCCACGCCCAACCCCACTTGATGGCTTCCTTGTTGCTTTCCTGATGGTTCCACAATGCTGCCAGGCTTGGGACCCACAGGCCTCCTCTGCCAAGTGTTCTTCACCCCTTATCTTACCAGCTGTGCGCAGCAACCCTGCAGGGTGGGAATTGCCCCCCATTTTCATGGGTGAAGCAGTCTGAGAGAGCCTGAGCCACCTGCCTGGGCCTTATGTGCATGGGATTTGAGCTCAGAGTTCCAGGACTCTGAATCCTGTAGTTTTTCCAGTATTCCAGCAGCCTCTAGGGAAGGTGGTGGGCAAATGTCCAGTCCAATTTGGCCTTTCCCTTCATCCAAGGTGACTAGTAGGGCCTCTGTGTCTAGGGACCATCCTTAGGCACTATATATGTGTGTATTATATATGTATATATGTATATATATATCTACTTATATATGTATATAGATATATATATATACGTGTATATATACACGTATATAATACATATATACATATATATGCATACATATATATGTATATATACATTTTTTCTTATTTTTTTAAATGGCACTGGTGGCTCATGCCTGTAATCCTAGCTACTCAGGAGGCTGAGATCTGAGGATCACGGTTCAAAGCCAGTGAGACTCCTATCTCCAATAAACCACTCAGAAAACAAGAAGTGGTGCTGTGGCTCAAGTGGTGGAGTGCTCTGCTTGAGCTGAAGTGCTGAGGCCCACAGTTCAAAGTTCATGACTGACCCCCCCCCAAAAAAAAAGGCACTGGGGTTTGAACTCAGGGCCTCACTTCTAGGTAGATGCTCTATCACTTGGGCCTTGCTTCTAGCCCCTTATTTTTGCTTTAGTTATTTTTCAGATACAGTCTGGTGTTTTTTGCCTGGGGCCAGCCTCAAACTGAGATTGTGCTTTACCCCATGGCTGGGATCATAGCTCCCTGGCACTATGCCCAGCTTATTGATTGAAATGGGATCTCTCTTTTTGCCTGACAGAACCACTGTCTTTCAGATCTCTGCCTCCCTAGTAACTGGTGGGACTGGAATTTGAATTCAGGGCCACGTACGTGCTCAACTGGAACTCTACCATGTGAGCCATGCAGCTTGTTTTGTTTTGCTATGTTGTCCAGTCTGGCCATGAACTCTTGGGTTCAGGCCATCCTCCTGCCTCAGCCTCCTGCGTAGTTAAGACTACAGGCACATACTGCTGTGCCCAGCATACTCACAGATTTGAATCTTCTCTACCAAGAAGCACACAGAATTTAAAACCGTAGATATACGATGAAAGCTGAGGTAGGATTAGTCACAGGAAAATAGTTTAAGGTTAGCATCCGGAGTGGCTCTGAGCACTGCAGCTAGGGTCAGAAGATAAACCAGAGCAGTGATCGCAACCTTGTCTGTGGAGACATCCTTGCCCCTTGGGCATCCTGGGCACTGGGATTTTTAAAAATCTTTATTTTGAAGCAGTTGTCTGTCTCTTAATGGCAGGGATACAGTCTGAGGAATATGTCTTGTTAGGTGATTTTTGTCATCACAAACCAAGATGGCTATGCTATCATTAGGTAATGTAGCTTAGGGGCCACTGCTGGGGTTTTTAGTGGCCCAGGTCTATAATTAGGGATTTACAGGAGGATAGAAAGACAGTATAAGCCGGCGCCAGTGGTTCAGGCCTGTAATCTTAGTACTCAGGAAGCTGAGACCTAAGGATGGTGGTTTGAAGCCAGCCAAGGCAGGAAAGTCTTTTATCTCCAATTAACCTCCAGGAAAACCAAAAGTGGCACTGTGGCTCAAAGTGGTAGAGCACTAGCCTTGAGTAAAAGAGCTCAAGGACAGTGCTCAGGCCCTGATTTCAAACCCCACGACAACAACAGCAACCAAAAAGGTCTCATGGTGCCTGGATTTTTTTTTTCTCTTGGTATCTGGTTTGAACTCAAGGCCTTACATTCACTAGGTTTTTGTTGGCTAATTGGAGCCAGCTTTTTGTTGGCTAATTGGAGAGAAGAATCTCACGATTTGTCTACCAGCCTAGATTTGAACTGCCAATTTGAGCAGTTCAAAGTGCTTCTTCCTTGTTGTGTCCTGGGTGGGCTGGCCACCTGGCCTGCTGTCAACCCTGGCTTACACTCCATGCGTGGGAAGCTCTTTTCTTTCCTTATGAATCCATGCCTCTGTGGCTCACCGAGGAAGCTGGAGCCATCTGAACCCAGCCTCTCCTTTCTCTTACAGATGCCGCCGCCATCTTGCTGGATGAACAGAACAAGCGGCCCTGCAGGAAGTTCCTTCTGACAGGTAAAGGGCTGTGCTGCACTCCGGTCCCCTCGGGAACCAGCAACACCTGTACAGCCTTCGTGAATCTCTGGAATGTCTACCCAACCCTGGCCACCTTCCCAAGCCCGAGTGGTCAGTCAGGGCCTCCCCAGGAGCTGGCTTTGGGCCAACTCTGCTGGTCTTTGTTGCTTCAGATATACCATGTGATTTTATTGGCTCACTGAGAGCAAGCAAGCTCTGGAGATTACAGGGAAATTCAGGAGCTAGGTGCTAGTGGCTCATACCTGTAATTCTAGCTAGTCAAGAGGCTCAGATCTGAGGGTCATGCTTCAAAACCAGCCTGGACAGGAAAATCCCGGTGACTCTTATTTCCAATTAATCACCAAAAATCCAAAGTGGAGGTATGGCTTAAGTGACAGAAGGCTAGATTTGGAAAAAAAAAAAAAAAACAACTAAAGGACAGTGCGCAGGCCCTGAGTTCAAGCTCCAGTACTAGCACAAAGTTTAAAACAGCAAGCCAGGATGGTAATTTGCCATCTTGCTATTACATACTCTAAGGGTTTGTCTCTGAGCTTCCTGTCAGCCAAGGCAAAGAAGGAAACCACACTGGCATGGCTTGTGAGGGAGCTGAGCACTGGGGAGAGGTCCTGCTGTTGAGCCAGAGCCAGGGAAGCCAAGTGAATGGCCTTGTTCTCCTTGGGACACAGTGCTGCCTCAGATGGCCATCAGGCCTGAGATCGGGGCTCCCCCACAGACCTGGCCTTGGCCCTGATGTGCCTTTGCCACTGCTAGGTGGCGCTGGCTGAGGACAAGGCCAGTGTGCTCTTATTCCAAGGCACACCTTGGTCACCTTGGTTGAGATGGACTAACTGCACAGACAGAGCTGCCAGGGCCTTCGTGCCAGCCCCAGAAGAGTCTGTTCGGAACTAGGATTGCTGCTCTCAAGTCCTGGGGCCCTCCATCCTTGGCGAGGGTCCTTCCCAAATGGGGGGTAACTCTGTCTTCTCCTTGCAGGCCAGTGTGACTTTGGCTCCAACTGCCGCTTTTCCCACATGTCCGAGCGGGACCTGCAGGAGCTGAGCATCCAGGTGGAGGGTGCGTTGCCATGGGGACCGGGATGCTGCAGGAATGCACTTGACCTGGGGAAGCGGCCCCGTGCCTCTTCCCTCTCCCTCATTGGCAGCCACCATTCCACCAGGGGGACAGGGAATCCCTGAGTCCCCAACTGGGAACAGGGCCAGACATACATGGCTTCCTCCCAGGAGCCCTGAAGTTATACCTCAGCGGCCTTGGGGCCAGGCTCTGGCAGTGATTTGTGGCTGTCCTTCCCTCCTTCCCTCCTTCCCTCCCTCCTTCCTTCCCTGTGCCCTAGCCCCCTCCCCCTCCCTCACAGATCCCCTACAATCTTGGGCCAAGCCGTTAAAGTGAACCCTGACCCTGCTTCAGGGTTCTCCCAGTCTAGTGATTTCCACTTCTGTGGAAACTGGGGTCTGCCCCTAGGGTCCACTGCTCACTCTGCAGCTAGAGAACACGGAAGTCCCGCCTGGATGCTCTTCATGGACATCCTCCTGTCTGCCCTCACTGAACAGGTAGCGAAGCACGCCTGGCACAGGGGCCTCCAGGGAGCCCCACAGCCCCAGGGGGCTGCTGTTTCCTCCACTACCCAGTGGCTTCCCAGCAGCTTGGCCTCAGCGCCTGGTGGGCCTTGTCCCCCTCTGCCCAGTCACAATCCGCATGCTCCACGCCCTGAGCCAACAGTGGTGGCTGCGGCCCTGGCACCCACGCAGGGTTTCCAGGAGCTTTCTCAGAGTGGCAGGGAGGCCTTGTGGGGCTGGCCAGCAAGTCCTGGCAGTGGCAGTGTCTCCGGCCTGTCACTGGCCACAGGCTCTCGGGGAATGGTTGGCTTGTGGAAGGGAGCACATAAGCCACTGGGCCTGGAGATAGGGAGGTGAGGCCCCAGACGGCTGGCAGTTTGGGTCCCAGATCACCTCCCCTGAAGCCTTGGAAGGTGGGTTCATCTCTTAGAGGTAGAGTCCTGTCAATCCTTTGTTACAGGTTAGGGAGATGATGCCTGCTCTTAGCCTAGAACCTGGCCCAGAGGGCTTATTGTGCCACAGGTCTGTTTCCCCCTAGTCCAAGGCCCCATTCCAGTATGCCTGGAGACTTCTGCCCCCATCACCTGCTTCTACCCAGCCTCTACACTCTTGTCTGTTTGTTGCTTGGTTTTAGTTCAGTGAGTGAGCATTGTTTTTGTTTAAACATTATATGAGAAGAAAAACCAGAGGCAGCTGGGTGCTGGCGGCGCACACTTGCAATCCTAGCTATTGGGATCCAGAGGACCATAGTTCAAAGCCAGCCCAGGAAGAAGAGTCAGCGAGCCACCATCTCCAAAATAAGCAGCAAAATCTGGGCTGGGGGTGTGGCTCACATGGTAGAGTGCCAGCCAAGCAAATAAGCAGAGTAAGCGTGAGGCCCTGAGTTCAAACTCAAGTACTGGCCAAAGGAAAAAACAGAGAAGCTTATTACCTTGCTCGGGGTGAGAAACTGGACAAGTAGCAGAGCTGAGACTCTACCCCATCCTACAGCCTGTGTTGGCTCCTGCACCCCATATTTGGGCTCTCCTGAAAGCAAGGCTCTTTGCGTTCTTTGTCCTGTTTCCAGTTCCCCAAGGCTTGAGAGAGAAATTAGTGTTTCCTCTAATTGCCTAGCATGAGGTGCAGAGCAGGGATTGTGGTTCCGGGAGCAGCATGGAGCCGGGGGTGAGCTGGGGGCACTGGAAGGCCAGATTGCACCCCTCAGCTCACTGTAGCCCCCCAAGGCTGGCAGTTCTCACTGTGTAGGGGAGGGAGGGACTCAGGCAGGTGGGATCATGACCCTCACCTGTCTCCCTGTCCCCATAGAGGAGAGGCGGGCCCGGGAGTGGCCAGTGGATGCCCCTGAGCTCCCTGAGGGCAGTCTGGAGGACTGGCTGGAGAAGAGGAGCAAGCGGCTGAGCTCCACCCCAAGCAGCAGGTACAGCGCTGACCCATCCCCTCCCAGAGGAATGACACCCCAAATGGACTGTCCTTTGTGTGAAGTGCCCAGGCCCAGGGGCCAAACGCGGACCCCTCCCACAGAGCTCCCTAAGTGGGGCACCTCAGAAGCTCCTGGGTCCCTAGACTGTGGCCTCCAGTGCCTGTTCCCTGGTCCCCTACCTCAGTAGCTCATCTGTGAACCCCTGAGGGCACATTTAGGAGAGCAGAGGCTCCATCACCAGGTGTTAACACGGTGGGCCTCGTGGGGGGGACGGGTGTAGACCTTGTGGGCTTCTGCCTGGGTCTCTGCTGCCTGGCCCACCAGGCAGGGACTACCTGGCCCTGGCAGGCTTCGGCCCCTGCAGCAAGTCAGAGCCCCCAGGTGAGCTGGCCGGCCGTTCTTGTAATCTTGGGCACACAGGAGCTCCCTAGGGCGTGGCCTGGTGACCCCTGCACATTCCCTCAGCACAGCGACCCTGAAGGGCAGGCCAGGCGGGAGCAGAGGGCAGCCAGGGAGGGAGCGCGGGCGGGCCACAGGCGTGAGCAGGCTAATCCCGGCCAGAGCTGTCCCTGCTTCCTATTGTTGGCTCTTCTGATTGTGCCTTTATCCCTCCTAATCTCCCCAATGCCCCTCTGGGCCTGCGCTGCTGTTCTGCTCATCCTCCTCCATAAGACTCTATTTCCTTCTGATAAGGACGTGGCTGGGCAGGTGCCAGGGAACTGCTCCTATCCTTGTGCGCAGAGCAGAGCGGCCAGTTGAAGCCACAGAGTCCCGTGCATACTCACCTGTGCCCCTCTATTATGGGGGCTTCAGGAATGGGCTCGGGCTGGGGGCTAGCGACTCAGGATGCCCTTCGGTTGGGGTACTAGGTAGACAGAGCACTGTGCTGAGCTGTGGTCCCAGACGCTGTGTGCCAGTGGCTTGGGGAATCTGCCTGCTTCGCTTGTGAAACGTCCTGAGGCTCAGGCAGGGGGTCCCCAGGATCACACCCTCCCCGGGGGAGCCCTGCTGTCACCCCACAGGGTGCGGGCGACTGGCTGGCAGCTGGGGCTCTCCCTCGCAGCCACTGTGCGGAGCCTCCCCCACACCCACCCTTCTCTGCGGCTAGTGGAGTTTATGAAATCTCCCCGGCGCCATAAATCATGTCAAGAGCTGCTGTGTGGCTTTCCAGCAGGCAGCGCACCGCCAGGCAGGGGATGTCCCGTCCCCTGGGCAGAGCCCCAGAGGCCGAGCGGGGCTCCGGAAGCCCTCGGGCCCAGACAGGCCTGGCAAACTGTCAGGGCCGCTGCCCCCGCCCCCGCCCTCCGCCGGCCCCTGGCCCTCTTTTTTTCTGCTGAGGTTTGACCACAGGGCGTCCAAGCCAGAGTCTCCCCTTCCTTGAAGGTTGGGCCATGGAGTGTCAGGGGACAATGTCTGGGCGACCTAAGTCACTTGCACCTCATTCTCCTCATCTGCAAAGTGGGGCTCCTGTGAGGAGTTTTCAGGTTTCTCTAGGCTTACAATAGTGCTGTTCACATGGCTACTGATGGGTCCTTCAACAAGCAGGCAAACTGGATGGCCTTTGGGTGCCAGGCCTCGCTTTGGGACATAGACCCCCCTGGTCCCTACTGTGCATTGGAGGCTGCAAACATGGGGAGACATGAACTCCCTGGAGAGCTCCACCCCAGGAAAGGTACTACAGCCCTGAAGCCACGCAGGGGCCAAGTCTGCAGGGGTCTGAACGTGGAACAGGTCGGGGAAGGCCCTGGTCAGCTGGCTGGACACAGAGGACACCTTGTCCCAGCAGCCCTTCCAGTGGCGTCCTGCATTCAGGGGAGGTGACTGGGGAGAGCAAGTAGCATGGGAAGTTTAGGGGTTGGTGTTTTTTGGTGTTTTTTTTTTTTTTTTGCCGGTCCTGAGGCTTGAGCACAGAGCCTGGGCACCGTCCCTAAGCTCGTTTTGCTCCATGCTAGCCCTCTACCACTTGAGCCACAGTGCCACTTCCGCTTCTTCTGTGATTTCATTGGAGATAAGAATCTCACAGACAAATCCTCAGATCTCAGCCTCCTGAGTAGCTAGGGTTCCAAGAGTGAGCCGCCCGCACCCGGCCCAGGCACCTTTTTAAAAAAAAAAAATTAGACAATACTTTTTTCTGATTTAAAAGGTGTGCATGCCTGTAAATCTTCTGAAAAGTAGATTTAAAAAACCCACCCACAACTGCACCACTCAGAGAGAACCAGTTGACATTTTAAGGTGATTTCCAGGATTTTTTTTATGCATTTATATATGTTATATATCTTTAAACAAAAATAGTATCATGCTATATACATTATTTTATAAGCTGCTCTCTCTCCTCTCCCAGCACATCTGCCCCGGTAGTGCAGGTGCAGGTGAGTCTGCCTGCACGTGCAGCAGGCGGGCTGCGTGGCACTCTCGCCACAGCCGTGCGTGTGCCCTCGTCCCCCACGGGTGGACGCGAAGGTTATTTCCATTTTCTCAAGACCAGTCTTGAGGCTCAGTGTCTGCCTACAAACCTGCTTTTTGCTAGGGCTCAGTTCCTGGAGGGGAGGTGCCGGCTCCGGGGTCTTTCAGCAGGTCATGCAGACAGCGGGCCCTCCCCACGGCCAGGGCCCGGGAGCATGTGCTGGGTCTAGGCTGTGCCCATTCTGATGCTCTGCCCTCTCTCTCTCTAGGGCTGAACCCATCAGAGCCACCGTCTTCCAGTACCCCATGGGCTGGCCGCCAGTCCAGGAGTTGCCCCCCTCCCTGCGGGCACCCCCACCTGGGGGGTGGCCCCTGCAGCCCAGAGTCCAGTGGGGCTGAGCTCACAGTCCCCACCAGACTCTGACCCAATCAACTATCCCGTCACAATAAAGACAACTTTTCATACTGGGGTTCAGAGCCCCCTTCCTGCTGTGCCCCCTGGCTCTGGGCCTGGCCTTCCCCAGGCCCCCCATACCAACTTGCACTCTGGTCCCAGTCTGCACCAGGCAGCTCCCCCCGCCCCCATTCCACTGTCTTCAGAAGATGGGCAAGGAAACTTCCAGATGTTTGGACAGGAAGCGTCTTGGTGGTGGTGTGTGTTTCTCCTGCCGGTATTCTCAGCTGCATCCCCCCGTCCCTGGTCAGGGGGCAGAGCCTCAGCCTGGCAGAGGTGCGGCTGTGCCGCAGCCCGGGTGGTAAGCAGCCCAAGTCTGCAGAGAGGCGCCCCAGGCCTCCATCTGCCATCCCAGACTGGCAGAACTCGCAGCCTCCACGTCGCCCGTGCCAAGCTGGCATTAAGCATTTGGTGCAGAGGAGTGGGGCCCCAGGAGGAGTGGCTCACCGTGCCTCTTGGCACTCACGGCACTGAGTTATACCAGCTCCTTGGCCCAGCGGGTTGTCTCCCAAGGTTCTAGCTAGACGGCCTCGGTGCCCTGGCTGCTCAGCTAGTCAGGCCCTCCCAGCCTCAGCCCTGCTTCCTCCCCAGTAGATTCCAGTTCTGGGTTCTGTGCTGCGGGGTGGGGGTGGGGGGAGGAAATACAGCCTTTAGTTACAGGGCCTTTGGTGGGGGGACCTGGAGGTTGGAGGCCTTGGGAACATCTAAGATGCTGCCTCCGCTGCAAACTTCTGCCCTTCCTGAAAAGGGGGGAGGTTCTCTGAAGGCAAACCCAGGTCAGATCTCAGGCCACTGCCCGTGAGATCGGCAGGCTGGGCACCAGCAGGTGTGGGGGAGGAGGACTGGGTTTGGGCCGAAGGAGGGTCAGAGGCAGGGACCCTTCTCTGGGAGAAGGCCAGCAGCCTCTGCCTCTTCTGCCCTGTGGATTCAGGATGCCTGTCCTGCCTAAGGGACCACAGCAGTGGCTGGGTGCTGGGAGTTCCTCTCTAATTAAATTCCTCCATTTCCCAGGACCCCTGGGACATTGGGAAGTTAGCGCTACATAGACACTGGGTGAGGGCAGGGTGGCGGGGCCTGGGGGCCATCCTCAGAGCCACCTCCAGGTCCTCCACAGCCAGGCCCCAGCTCCATGCAAGGCCTGTGGGGCGAGAGGGGTGCAGCAGCCAGATGTCCAGGCCCTGGAGTACCTGTGGGTGGTGGACCTGGGAGCCAGCTGAGGGACAGGGCTGCGGGCGGCGATGGTGGTGCGCAGCGGGCCCGGCACTGCATGCGCCAGGCGGCGCCTACTTCATGCCACTGCGCAGCACCTGGTTGGCTGCGATGAGCATGACGCTGATGATGAAGGCGATGGCGAAGGCGCAGATGAGGCTCTTGCGCACGCATGTCTGGCGGATCTGCTGGTTGGAGCAGGCTGTGGCCGCCCACCGGGAACACGGAGACAGAAGGGGATGGGAGGGATGGAATCAGGAGCTGCCTGCACTTGGGCCCAGGCTCCACCCAGGGAGAGATGATGATGATAAGGCTGGAGGCTGGCCAGGAGCCCCCACCCCCGCCCCAGGCCATTCTCACAAACCCCCGGCCTCGTCTCCCCACACAAACCCGGGAAGCCCAGCCTCAGAGCTGCAGGGTCGGCCACTCACTCTCCACATCCACGGGGCATTCCTCGGCGGTGCCCAGGTGGCTCTCCTCCTCCGTCATGATGATGTTCTCGATGTCCTTCATGGACAGGTGCTCGCAGAAAGTGTCGTAGAGCAGCCGCTTCAGCTCGTCCACCGTCAGCTTCTGCATGTCGCACTGGGGGGGGGGGACAGTGCTCACCGCCATCCCCACCGAGCACCCTGCAGCCACAGGAGCCCTGCTTCCCACGGCTCACTCCACTGTCCAACACCTGCCTCCCCGGGGAGCCCGGGGCCTTGGGGCGGCAGGACATATGTGGACGGAAGCCTGGAGTGGCCAGTGCTCCCCGCAGCACAGCCTGGCACTGGCAGGCCCCGGGATCCCCCCCGAGGCCGCCCAGCCTGGGGCTGTACCTTCCAGAAGACTGTGTCGAAGTCGGTGCCATGGAACTTCTCTGGGATCCCTGACGTAGACAGCTTGGGTCCCAGGAGGGTCACAAACTCCTCAAAGTCCACCTGGCCGTCACCTAGAGTGGGCACAGAGCCAATCCGGCCGGAACCCGCACTGAGCAGGGACCCTAGTTCCCAAAGGGTCTGGGATGGAGTCCTAGTGCATGTGACCTCAGACTGGCACCGCCTCCTGTGCCTAGAGCACTGAACATGCCAAGCTCTTGGCAGGTGTGGAGACCAAGTCTGACAGGCCCTGGGGGTGGGAGATGTGGAGAGTGGGGTGGGCCGCCAGCACGGCCAGGAGGTGAGGCCCAGCCAGTCCGCTAGAACCCTCTGTGGCTCCCCACGCCCCTTCATAAATGCCAGGTGGCAAAAACAACCAATTAAATGACTTTGAGGTGACAGGATCTGGGATGTTTATTACACGCTTTCTTCTTTGTCGTACTTTGAAATTTCTCAGACTACAGAGAGTGGGGGAGCAGCCGTTGTCCCCCCACCCCACGTAACTAAGACTGTCATACCCTCTGTGTCTGAGAAACAGCCAGACCATGCTGCAGCCTGCCGTGGGCTTTGAGGTGGCTCCAAGAAGCCCAGGTGTAGGCTCGGCCTCAGTGGCTCAGTGGGGACAGAGGCAGGGAGGCAGGGGTGTGATGCTCACCGTCCATGTCCAGCCTCTGGATGATCACCTCCAGCTCCACCTCATTGGGCATGTAGCCCAGCGAGCGCATGGCTGTGCCCAGCTCCTGCTTGGAGATGAAGCCGTTGCCATCTCGGTCAAACACTTTGAAGGCCTCACGGATCTCTGCAGGGGAGAAGAACAGGCTGGGGCCTCAGCCTGTCCCCAACAGATCGGGAGGATCTGAGGGGCCACCCAGAGCCTGCAGAGCTGGGGACCCAGTCAGGGCACGGATGCATTCCTGGCGGGCAGAGAATGCACGACCCGGGAACCATGGCCGCCCTGAGGCCTGAGCACGCACGGCTCTCCTGGTGTGCTCACGACGACCCCGTGTGGCGGGTGCAAGGAGGTTGAGGAAGCTGGGCCCGCTGGCCAAGGTGGCTTCTGAGAAGGGTTTCCAGTGCACACGCGTGTGCACACACACATACACACACACGCGCGCGCGCGCGCTCCTTCCAGCCTCCCCCCGCCCCTGCAGCCCCGTCCCACTGGGCTTCCTCTCCCAGCTCAGCTCTGAGCACCAGCCGCATGTGCCTGCAGTGACCTGTTAGTTGGCTCCAGCTGATGGCTGGGCTCAGATCACCTCAGCCCGGGATCAGACAGAAACGGGACAGAAGATCCAGTGCGGGGGTCCCCACCCCATTGAACAGAGAGGGTGGGCGAGGCCTGACGACCTGCATGACTCCAGTGGGCAGCAATGCACTTGGCTGGAATCCTGGAGTAACTCTTCCATAGCCACAACCAAATGGGCAGAACAACGTCAGACAGGCTGGGTTAGGGGACCCTAGCCTATCATCTTTGTATTTTCCTTTGGGGGCAGGGCAGAACTCAATCCACTAAATACCGCTGCCTAAAGTCCTCCTTGTTTCCTTGGTAGTCTCCTGGCTTTTGCCTAAGTTGTTCACCCAAAGGGCAGAGTGGAGCTGCATATGTGTGTGTGTGTGTGTGTGTGTGTGTGTGTGTGTGTGTGTGCGCGTGCGTGCATATATGCACATGTGCTATGCAGACATGAGACTCCACATGTAGAGATCCAGCAAAAGAGGCCCAATGGCTGGCCAGGCTTCACTGGGTTTCAAAGCTGTTGCTACAAAAGTGTGAGCCCTAAAACTTTAGTAGGATCCTATACTTTGACGCTGTTCCCCGGATCTCCTGGGGGACAGGGAAGCCCAGCCTGGTGGCCCCACCACAGACTGGGAGCCATGGCCCATGGCAGAGTCTTGAACCAAGGTCCCAGCCCTCACAGACTCTGCCACCAGTGTCAGATCTTGTGGGCAGGTGGAAACAGAACTAGTGCTCAAATGGCCTGGGCCCCAGGCCCATTATGAGTAAGGCCTGAGACTCTCGCGTCTCAACCAGTGGCCCTAGGGCCAGGGAAGCAGCTGGGTTGGGCCCAGCCAGACCTGTGGGTGTCTGCAAGTCCTGAACTCAGAGAAGTCTGAGCAAGACCAACAACCAACAACCATTTCTGGGGTCCAACCATTTCCTGAGGGGGCAGTATAGTATGCTCCCGTGACTGGAGGCACAGAGCAGGCTGCTGTGGGGACTCAGGGCAGCTGCCAGTCTGTGGCAGACGGGGAGGTATGCATGCATACATGTGGGGGGCTGGCTCTCTCCCCCTTCTCCCCTACCCCCGAGACCCTCTCGGGATTTACTTCTAGGTTTTGATCACAGGGGTGACTCTGACTCCGATGGCAGCTCTGCCTCATCCCCTGCCCCTCTCCAGGCTAACTTTGGCTCTTTCCTGCCCCTCACAAGCCTGTTTTCCCCCTCGATGGACTGTGAGTACCATAAGAGAAGGGCTAGGGGATGGAGGTCCTCATTCATGACTTGTCCCCATGACCTGAAACAACATCCGCGCACACGTGCTGAATGAAGGCCAAAAGGTAGAGACCGAGGAAGGACTCAGAGCAGAGGCCACAGCCAGGCCCCCAGGGAAGGCAGGAAGGGGAGGCCGGCGCTGCCCATCCCTCGCCCAGTCCCCAGAATCGGTTCCCGCTCTATGGATCACCCACAGAAAAGGAGATGGAGTTGGAGGTGGAGGTGGTTTGGAGGTGCCTGGGGACAAGCACTGTATCCTTCTGAGTCTGAGGCCCTTTGGGGAGTTTTCAAAGTGGGGTACCAAGTTAGAGAGGCTACAGTGGCAGCTGCCCCTCCCCTGCAGTGGGCTGAGGTTCAGGCTGTCTCTTCCTCGTGGCTTTCCCTTCCAGGGTTGCCTGAGCTTTTCTGGCTAGGAGGGGGGATGGCAGAGGGCAAGTGAATCTTGGGGTGAATGAACTGATGATAAATTGAGGCCAGGATGGGGAGGGCAGCGGCAGAGGGTAGTTGAATCTTGGGGTGCATGAACAGATGACAGGCCGAGGTGGGGGCAGGAAGGGGCAGGTGAATCTTGGGGTGCATGTCGGACAACAGGCTGACCTTTGCCAGCTAAATCCACAGCCTGCCACCTCCCCATTCGTGCGCCCTTCCTGCACCCTCTCAGCACAGCCGGCTACGCCACGGCCCTGTCCCGGCTCCCGCCAGCTTCCATTTGCTCATGGAGACCCAGTTCAGGGGCCATCTCAGCCAGGGAGTGTCACAGGGCTCCAGGTTCAAATCCCAGCTCTCCTCCATCCTGGCAGGGTGACCTTGGGCAGGGACTTGCTCATCTGTACAATGGGCCTTGCTTGATGATTAAGCAAGAAAATTAGGCATACAAGTCCGTGGCTGAGCCTGGCTCGGGGTGGATGCTGTAAATCAGCTCATCCCAGATGGCAGAGCCGGAAGGAGAAGGAGGACTGGGTGAACTCGGGACGCCAGGCTGGCCCGCCTGCTGGCTGGGCCCAGGACCCAAAGCTTGGGCTTAGACTCTGGCTCTACACCACTCTGCAGCCAAGTGGCCTGAGCAAGGCCCTGGTGTCTCCGGGCCTCAGGCCCCTCACCTAGGAGTCAGGCTGGGGCCAGGCCTCTGTGGGGTTCCCTGACGGGGTGGGTGTCATCACTGTCCCTGTGCTCCAGCAGCTGGGTACGTTTCCCCGAAAGCCTCACTCCACTCCCCACCCCGCGAGGCCAAGGGAAGCTTGTGCGCTCCGTCTTGGCATAGGGCTGCCTGGCCCGGGAATGGGCTGGCAGGGCCACCAGGTTTCCAGGCTGATGCTGTCTCCTCCACCCCCCCCAATCCAATCACCTTCACCCTGACCTCCCGTGCTCCCCTCCCCAACCTGCGGAGCTGTGGTAAGGGCGGTGTCCCCAGCAGGCCCCCATGGACGCCCGTGTTCTCTCGGTGATGGAGTTCGGAGGGGGACACAGGCTGGAGGTCACGGGAGGGGGCAGCGCCCATCCTCTGCAGAGGCTGCCAGGCTCCGCAGCATTGGCTCTGCGCCGCACGGCCCCAGCATCCCGGAGTCCCTGGCCTATGCAGAGGCAACTGTTGGGCCCCAGGGACCAGGGGCAGGAAGGGGGCTCCCCAGCCTTTCCTTGCCTCAAAGACCTCCCTATTTGCTCCCTGCAACCCAGACTCCACTGTTAGCCTGGACTGACAACCTGGTGGCCTTCCTGCCTGCCTTGCCTTTCTCCTCTCTCTTGCCAACCATCCCGGATTCCATCTTCTGGACCCCACTAGCCCCCAATGTCTCTGAACCAGCCTGCCTGGGTGTCTCGAGGCCTCTGCTGTGGGCTGACATTGGGGTGTTCAGAGAAAAGGAATGTAGAAGAACCCCTGCCTCTCCCTCACCAGGACTAAGTGGGCTCCAAGACAGCTCTGTCCAGATATGGTCTTACCCTGCCAACTCCCATCCACAGCTCCCCTAGGCCGCAGGCCCCCAGTGCCTCTGCCAGACCCAGTCCTGTCCCCCACCTTCCTGGGGGTCCCCCAGCCCACACACCTCAGCCCATGCCCTATGCCCATGTTCCAGGCTCACCTCTGCAGGGTCCCCTCTTCCCTCTCCCCGGCTATGTTTGGGGCTCCCCCCTCACTGCCAGGCCCTGGGTATTCTTGACCATCAGCAGTGCTGGGGAGGGCAATGCCAACCCCCTTTTACAGATGGGGAAATCAAGGCTCAGAGAAGCAAGGAATTGCCTAGGGTCCCTCCGTGAGTGTGCAGACTAAGACCCAGCGCTACCTGACTAGGAAAGCCCTCATCTCAACTCTGTGCTCCCCACTTCCTATCCAGGCCCTTCTCCTCACGCAGACTGACCGGCCCTGGCTCTGCAGCAGGCAGGCACGGACGATCTATGGCATCCCAGGCCCCCGCACTCCCTCTTGCTGGCGCATGTGGCTTCTTCACCAGTCATCTCCTCCCATCAAGGGCCTGGGTCTTACCCAGACCACCCCAGTGTACATCAGAGAGACAGTGGGGGCCGCAGGGGCATCTGAGCCTCTCCACCCGGTCTCACCATCCAAGGACCACCGCAAGGAGCCCAGGCCTGCGGAGAGCTTTGGGGGTTTCTGCAACTAGAAAGGGGGTTTGTTGAGGAGGACTTTGCTTTCATCGGTGGATGCCCACAGACACTGTGGCCCGTGCTCCCCCTGTCCCCCCCCCGACAGCATCGGGATGGCTCTGCCCTTCAGGCGCCCCCTGGCATGAGGGCCCCTCTCCTAGCACAGGAGAAGGGGACGGCACCGAAGCAGTGTGAATGGCGGTGGTGACTAACACGTGGGCTTCTGCCAGCTTAACTGCTCTATGGCCCAGGGGAGCCTGCGGCCTCTGTGCCCACCCTGCAGGCTTGCCACCTCCCCTTCCTCAGACTGCACTCCAGAACTGGGGGTCAGGAGAGAAGCAAACCAGGGAGGTCTGGCACTGGGGATTCCAGAATCCTGGGGGTGCCGAAAGTCAGGGGAGGGAATGAGGCAGAGTCTGCCTAAGGTCGGAGACAGATTGACCACTCACTGTCTTAGGAGACCAGGAGGAAGGGATGGGCAAGGGCCTTGAATGGGGAACAGGCAGGAGGTCTGGGAAGGCCCAAGGGATGCAGGGGATGAAGATGGAAGATGAGGACAGATGCCCATGCCCCATCCGCTGCCTTCTCGCCCTCGTCCCGTCCCTTCCTTCCCCTAGGCCCTGGAGGAGGCTCTGGATCTTGGGCTTTGGCCCAGACTGGTGAGAACCTAGACTCTGAGTGTAACCGCTGAGGTCAGGTCCGGGGCCCGCGCGTCCCTCCATCTGTCCAGACCTTGTCTCCTGGGCCCCTGAAAAGCTTGGGGGCTGGGGGTGAGGAGCAGGTGGCTCGTGGCCCGTGGTGCAGTGAGCTTAGTGGTGGCAGCTGCCTTTTCTCTCAGGTCTTCCCCCATCCCGATCTGATTCCCCTCCAAGATCGGTCCCCATCGGGCTTGGGAAGACCGCGAGGAAAGACCTTCCTCCCTGGCTGCTTTCCGGGTTCCTCCTCCCCAACTGCGGTGGTCCCTCAGCGGACTCTGCGGGCCCCATGAGCCCCAGGTCTCAGAGACACCCCCCCCCCGGACCCAAGGGACCGAGAGCCAGGGTCAAGCGCTGGGGATCGCAGCCGACCGCGGATCCTAAGAAGCCAAGACTCGGGGTCGTCAGCCCACAGCCCCCCCCAACTCCGGCCCATTGGGGGCCCCAGGAGGTCTGGGGGAGGGGACTCCCGGGCGCCTCCCCCAGCTCTGCAGGGAAAGCGGAGCGCTGGGCAGGCCCCGGGGGTCTCACGGCCCGGCCCCGACCCCGGGTCCCG